ACAATTAAATTAAATACAATGGCATGGCGTGGTCTGTTTGTCACATTCCACATGCGGTCGCTTTGTACGTGCCGCGGAATTGTTCAAATGAGGCGTAGCATAGAAATTCAGTAAATAATTTAGATTTCATCTAATAAGGTATCAACCATTCAAATTAGTATTGACCTAATAATTAAATTACTTTATAAAAGGACAAATGGCAATTTTGTATGAAACCTGGACCCACGTTCAACACCGATTAACGTCAAATGAAAACTTTTTTCGTTGTGTATTTTTTTGGGGAGTTAAACTTACATTTCTACCTAAGTTGTATGTATATATGTACATAATTATGTATGGTATAGTAAGTAGTGTATATTATATGGTGTTATATATATATATATATATATAATATATATATATATATATATATATATATATATATATATATATATATAAGACGGAGGAGGATTTAGTTACCTTTTTCTGTTATGAAACCTTGTTATTGTTTAAAGTCACTATGTTCTTTAATTTACTTTTAAAGTTATTTTGAATGTAGAGCAGAGATTTAGTCTCGAGCGGGGTCGAGACGCCATCACGACATTCTTTGCAGATACGTGGTGTAGTAAAGTCGGTTGATCTTAAAGAGTTATGTTTGATATTGTAGTTGGAAGTCGATGATCGGTGACTGTGAACCCGCTAGCTCTAAATCATTAGAATTACCGTTTCAAGTTTATAACATTGTGACTTCCCTGATTAAATTGTGTATTGAGCACTGAATACTTTATTATTTGAGCCCTGATAACGCCCACAAGATTAGTAACCACCAAAGATGATGTTCGTAGTATATGGATAACACGACATATATATATATATAAACTCAGATACCTACATACATATGTAAGATACAGACTACAGAGGTGTCAACGTAAGCCTTCCTTTACACTCAAAGTGCATGTGCACAATAGATAATCCTAGGAACGCTTTAATATGAGTATTGTTGTGTTCAGTGTTCTTTTTACTGTCCGTTAGCGAGTTATGCTCTAAAAATTATATTACATACTAACTTTGTAAAGGCAGTTTATAATGAATAATGAGGTTTTCTTGCCTAAGTAACTCCATAAGAGGAGGAGATTCAATTTATATACATGTTTTTCTTTGTGTATGTTACAAACAATCGATCGATGCCAATTGTGAATCGATATAATAATAATAATAATTCCTTTCATGAATAGGTCCCATATAAATTTCAAGCAATTATTTCACCCATAAGATTGTAAGTAGGCCCTTTAAAGTGATTTAGAATTTGATGAACCAAATTGATTTCGTTTTTGAAAAGAAAATTTTTGGAAATAAATCTTGCAATATATTTTTATATCTTAATTCAGATAGAAAGAGCCATCCGCCGGGGCGCCGTAGTAGTTATGCGCAAGCGATCCTGCGGCGTCCCACTAAGGCGGGGGGAAGGGATGTCGGGTTTTAGTGGGTAGTACCGGCTCTTCTAGCCGGTGAGCCCCACATCACCACCTGGGGGATCAGGTGGTATGCGTAAATGCATTTCCAGACGATAAAAAAAAAAAAAAAAAGATAGAAAGAGCCAAATATGTGTATATTTTTAAATAAAATATACACAAAAAAATCTGAATATTTTACGTAAAAGAATATTTTATAAAAAACTTTTCGGTTATCTCATTCTTTCAAAAATTAACCGTCAAAGATATTTGATATTCACAACATCCTGATAAGAGAATTTTCCAGTCCTTTACCTTAAATGTATTTTTCAATAGCCTTAGCAGGGATGAGTTGTCATAGCGACCAACTGGATCCCATTGAACAGATCTACCCTCATCCGATATTGTAAGATTGAATAGTTTATTCTACAAACTTGAGAGCTGTTTAAAGATAAAAATCACCTTTGAGTGTTTATGCCCCACATCATATAAAAAAATATAGATGTTACTAACTCATTGGCGTGTTTATTAAGAAGCATTTCGTGTGTACATTATTGAACTTTCATACTAATTTCGTTCATTCTTTCCAAATACACTTTATGAGAAGAATATATTACGGCCTAAAATGTTAATACTAGCGGCTCACCTTCGCTTCGCTCGGGTTCGTCCCTAGCTTGCTTCCCAATACAAACTTTCATCCCCATTTTTACACTCTTAAGGGATGATTTCCGGGATAAAAAGTATCCTATGGCCTTCCCAGGGTCTCAAACTATCTTCTTTCCAAATTTAATCTAAATCGGTTCAGTAAATCTAGAAATTACCCCCTACAACGTCACAAACTAACAAAATCATAAACTCACAAACTTTACCTCTTTATAATATTAAGTATAGATAATGTTCTCATATCTGATTTAGGTTATGACAACTAATATTATTGAAGCGAACCATTTTCTCGTAAAACGTTATAGTGCACAAATATTACTGCAAATACATATGATTTCTCAATTTCTTTAACTGTCATACCTCGTTAGCGACTATTCGATATGACCGGCGAAAGATCAGTTTGTGGACAGATTTGCTATCCGAAACACTAAGGCGTGACACCGCTAACTTTTCAATCCCGCGCTTATATTAATATAATATATATTAACATTAAAATATAATATATATTAAAAAATGTAATAATAATATAAGAAGTATTAAATTTTATATAAAAACCCAACAACTATTTTTGGTCTCCCTACTAGTCACGGTACTTAGTATCTAGATTCTAGATTAAATCCGCAGTTGGTGAATGTCAACTTAGAAATATTTAAAAATCAAAATTTATATGGAATGTGGATCAAGAGTAACGAGGTTAAAATATATATTTAAATTTCTTATAAAAATATTATACCGAATACATGTAACAAAATTATAAATATGTTTTTAGTAGACTAAAAGATAAATATATTATTTTCTAATAAATCGTAAGCGTAAAATAATGTTACTAATAGTATAAGCCGATATAACTAGCGATCCTGCGACACGTGAATGCGGGAAGGCAATAATAAGCTTAACAAGGCACGAACGAGCAAGAGAGCTTCCTCAGAAAAGCTCTTGTTTTTATCATCTCAATAAACGGTGCAAATATTGTAAACACCCCGTGGAAATTCAAAAGTAATCCCGGCTTATATAAAAACAACTTTATAATAAACAAACGATGATTTAATTGAAGTTTTTCATTTTCTCGGGGAATAAAAATGGAATTGAAATTGAAAAACAATAATCAAATCGAATCTTAGTAGAGTGGCGAGAAATAAACAGGGCAAGAAACAAATTACCTGTATCGAGCTAATTGTTGTCGGATCAAAGCGGGGATGGGGGGAGTTAGGTAAATCCGACCTGTTATATTTTATTTTTTGAGTGAGTGGGCGCGGGAGGGACGGCCGCGGGCGTTATACGCAATTATTGTTATTACAAAGAGATTGCGCTGAGCCGGCTCAGAACTCGAGTTTTTTTAGAATTCATTCCAGCGTTTCGTAATTGCACTGTTGCTACTTAAATAGCTGTTTCTAAATCAAACAAAAACTTAAGACTACTTTCTTTTTGTCAGGCTTTTGTAAACGCTTTGCCCTACATCTTCCTTTAGATTATTATTATTCAAGTAAATACTCTCAATGGACCCGTCCTTTCGTTACGAGTATTTACGAATGCTTTGAATAAAAGAAAATAACTCAATGTAGAGTTACATAAGTAATCCTTAAAAATAAAAAATTGTTACACGCACAAATTAAAATTATCCAAGTGAAAGTCCGATGTATCCACCAAGCATTTCGTATCACAGCTCATTATGTATATATAAAATACTAGAAGGACCCGCGGCTTCACTCGCGCTAAAACTACAAAAAAAACTTTTATAGGTAGGTTTCATACAAACTTTTATCCTCTATTTTACCCTCTTATGGGATGAATTTCGAAAAATGCTAAAACACGTATTTCTTTAATTGTATTGATATCGAAATTTCAAGTAATTCTGATAATAAATATATTTTTTTTTCGTTATAAATATATTTCTCAGGCGATAAAAAGTAGCCTAGTCACTCTCCAGCCTCCAACTATCTTCACACAAAAATCACGCCAATCCGCAATGCCGTTTCAACGTGAAAGAAAGACAAACAAACAAACAAACAAACAAACAAACAAACAAACAAACAAACAAACAAACAAACAAACACACTTTCACATTTATAAAATTAAGTATGAATAACGTTAAATAGTGATTGCAACGTTTAGCGGAAGTACTTCTCGCGTTTCACACTAGATTTAAATGAGTGCGAATATAATACAAGAAATTTTACGATTAGACTCCTAAACAAGGAGCTATTAAATATAATAACATATTGCTTGTAGATTTAGAACATATAGCCATTTCAACGTGAGAGACAGATGTACCGACGGACAAGTGCTGCAGACTTAATACGACTCGACTGGTTTGGGAGTGGAACACTAAAAAAGATAATATTCATTCACACTGCTCACACTATCTTTAGTTAGGACGCAATAAAGCACGACAGTTAGTTATCTTATTATATTTCGTTTTTGATCCTGGGTATAATATCTGTACATATAATAAAATTGTAACTAAGTCGAATCTGTACACTAAATATTTTTTGGAAAATCTTATGGGAATAGACATTATTATCGATACAGAGGCCGAATGTATAGTTTTTAGAATTTTTGTCTGTCTGTCTGTCTGTTACCGCATCACAGAAAAAGTACTGGAGGGACTTTGATGAAATTTGGTATGGTCATAGCTGGTGGTTATCCGGGTCAACATACAGGATACTTTTTACCGCGGAAAAATATCTCATTTGTGAGAAAAAATTCAAAAACTGTAATGTAAGAGTATTAGTATATGTAAAACCTAAGAATTTGGTTTTTGGTCATCTGAAAGCGGGCGGAGCCGCGGGCAATGCTAGTGGCCAATATAAAAAAATATTGTTTGCTTCTCGTGCAATATAATCGCGACGTTATTATGATAAATATTTATATTTTCTACATAGATTTGTTATTAACGGAAATACTTACCAATAAACACGAATATCTGATGATGCGCGTACCGCAGGAGCATTGAGATAGAAACAGTCTGCAACAGTAAAAATGAATAGTATAATAAAATAAACAATATATTACTATCGTAGAAAATGAAGCTTTGCAGCTGTACATTGCACGTGTTAATGAGAAGAGTCTAATTTCAATTGCAAAGATTATTGCAAAATCAATGACTTCCACTAATCGTACAAGTAAAGTCTGTGCAAAGGGAGCATTTGCCGAGGCCGATCGCACTCTTACTTAAATGGATTCAATCTGCACTAAGCGTTTCATTAATGAAATTCAATCGCGGCGAGCCGCGCGGGGAGCAAATGATGTGGCGAAAAGATTGATAGCGGCTACGAGATATCCCTACCTGGAGATGCGAAACATTGTAGTTTCAAAATTAGCTATTGTTTGGAGAATTTGACACTAAATATTACATAAAAAATATATTATATAAATAAAAAAGCCGATTGCATAAAATCTAACTAAAATGATGAAAACAATTTGATAAAGGAATATATTTTATAGTATTATACAGTCGGAGACATCCTTGCCGAGAGATATACGTACATATAATATATATACATATATTCTTACGTCAACTTGTTTTCATATTTTTAGTTAGCTTTTATACACTCGGTTTTTTTATTATTTTTATAATATATTTTTTATTTACAGCGGTGTAAGTAAGTACAATTTTTTATCCTAAATTACTTTTAAACATACATATAAGTTGTTTATAAATTCAAAATTCAAAATTATATAACTATTTTTATATAGCCTATGGCACTTGCGTTATCAAGACGAATCTAACGACGTATGAATCATCAAAATCGGCCCACACGTTTGGTCTCTAGAGTGCCACTAATTAACAAACAAACAAACATACATACATACATATATAACTAGCGATTTACCCTCGCTTAGTTTCGGTGCGCCTCTAGGTGCCTGATGGTAGGCTATATCCAGGTCAAAGTCTATCTTTGTACATAATTTCATCCAAATGCGTTCAGCCGTTTCAGCGTGAAAGAAAGAAAAAAGAGTAGCAAACAAAAAACTTTCGCAATTATAAAAGCAGTCCGATGAAAATAATTAATTTTATTCAAGTTTTATTTGTTCAATATATATACACATAGTATCATCATCTAAACGAAAAAAACGAAGTAACAACCAAGCATATTCAAATCTATTTTCGCCACCGATATCAGATTGTCGCTCAAAAAAATTAGACTGAGCGTCGGAGCGTACAGCGTTGTTACGCAATGGACCGTATTTAATACGTCCACAGGCAACGGGCAAACCGTAGTTTTTACAGCAGCCGTAAAGTGAAGCATCGATCCGCCCGTTAATATTAAAAGGCAGTGCCGTTAATATATGGCAGCGTGTACCGCCCCCACTACGAGTAGGTCGATCAATCACTGTATCACTTCTTGTTTCTACGCACAAGTTTTGGCGAATTGTTACACTAGTGTGCTTTCTAGTTTGGAACTCCTTATTGTTATCGTAGGGATTTCTAATAACAAGGTATATCAAACAGTATAGCTATGTATGTAAGTTATTTTAAATTATCAGCGATCTAAAATAAGTCCGCCTTTGCATGCCTCTTTGTTATTTTCCTTTTCACCTTCTGTACTCTTTTTTTTGTGTGTGCAATAAAGTATTTATCTATCTAAGTACTGTTTATAAGTAAATTATGCTTGAATCACTAGAATAACCCCAATAATTCGAACAAGCTCACCAAAAATGCAACACATTCTGTTGCACCCAATACAATCGTAATTTCTGTCAGGTTATGAACGATGGCTAGCAATAAATGGCATTTCATGGGGAGTTGCATTCCACAATTTACTTTGTGCTTTGACAGGCTCGCATGAAACCGGAGATATGTTAGGCAATACGCGTGCCGTTTGACAATTGATTAATACAATTTCTCTGCGTGCTGACATCGCTATATGAGATTAGTCTAGCAACATTTATAATGTAGCGTAGAACGGAATTCGTGAAAACAAAGGACACGCTATTGATAGAGACCTATTAAGCGCATTTACTCTTATTACCAATATAACTGAAGTAGAATACGCACTTCCCAATCATTCAATAGTCAAAAAAACACAAATATATACAGACTTAATGTTCTTTGGTGTAATTTTCCTAAAACCATTCGAACGCAAGGTACGAGTATAAGGAGTTTTGTTAAACACACATAAGACGTGCCGCACAGTATAAAGGTGGAATTTGGAACCGTAATAAAGTTTGAAAGGGCTGTAAAAGTGCAATAACTGTAACTCGGGGAGAGAGTCCTGATTTTAGTGGCGAGCGAAGGGCCGCGCCTCACTTTAACTATTAATTGATCTATAATGCCACTGGCTATAACTCTTATGGCATATACCTCTATATATTATTTAATCGTGTTGACATTCTCACATAAGTACTATAATTTGTCCATAACTTTTAAGAAATTTGCCACAAATGTAACAAAAGCTTTTATTTCATTTGTGGCATTTTTCTTTTTATTTATTATTTTATTATTCTATATATACTATTTCTTTATATTTTTAATATATTCATATTATCTCTCCTTAATATTATGTAAATTCAAAGCGATTCCAATATTTAACAAGGATATAATAACTAGTAAATTATATACACTATACAGTATTATATAAAGCTAATGAAATTTTTTAGCAAACTTTTATAATTTTTTAATTTATATGAGGTAATATATGTATATAGAAAAATTAAGCAAATACACATGCATTATGGTTAAAGAAAATTTTAAAATTCAAAAGAAAAGAATAAAGAATACAATCTTTTCTAAGCTTATAAAATTACCGACAAAAATGAACAAATGTACTAAATATTCATGAATCTTATCACAGTCATACTGCCACTGAAGCGGCAGCACTATTAAAACGAAATATTTCGAGCCTCTTCTAACTCAATTGGAGCTCAAAGCCCATTTTAGATACATGGATAAACTTTTACGTACGTACATGCTCATGCACCTATACAATCCATACTAATATTATAAATGTAAAAGTGTGTTTGTTTGTTTGTCCTTCTTTCACGTCGAAACAGTGATGGATTGGAGTGATTTTTTGTGTGGAGATACTTGGAGGGTAGGAGAGTGACATAGGCAACTTTCTACCGCGGAAGATTATCTAATTCCCATGTGAAAACAACGCAAAAATAAAAATACAAAGCAAAAAAACTACCTTTTTAAGCTGCGGGTTCTGCTAGTTATTAGATATATTTTTCCTTTTTTTTATATTTTTTGCATTATATATTTTTAGCTTCCATAATAATTAACTTAATTTTTATATGAAACGAGTCATTACTATAATTTTACTGTGGCTATCGCGTGCCCAGTTTTTGGACACTATTGCATTTGCAATCAACAAGCATCAAATATCTTATTTCACATCATAAAAATCTTTTTTTAATATTATTTAAAAAAATATCTAATAATATTAATCAACGTCTCACAATTTTCTCTAGTTGAAAACTCGAAAATTTACTTCTTCTTTATTCTCTATTTCATCTTCTATCAAAACAATATCATAAATATCCTAATATTAAACCTGTCTTTAGTTATAAGACTACCTACTGTTTTCTGAAACTCTACCGAAATAATAAATTTACATGACATGCAAACGTACTTATTGCCGATAAATCTATATAAATAAAAATGAATGTTGCTAAGCGCAAAACTCGAGAACGGCTCAACCAATTCAGCTTTTTTTTGTATGTTTCTTAAGGTACACGGAAAGTTTTAATAAAGAGAAAAAATATAAAATACGGTAAATATATATATTTAAAACAAAGTCATGTTAATTACACCATTTATAATTCAAGAACGACTGCACCAATTTTTATATTTGATATTTTGGATTTCTCTTAGTCCGGAATAGGATAGTAAGTATTAAAACATCAGAAAAATTAACGAAAAAAATAATAATTTATATCTATTTAAAACGTACGTGTTAAATAAAATATGATTGTTTCAATATACTTACAAACACAAATTACAGGCATGCAAAATAATACTTATGCTATGATGATGTTGCCCTAAAATATAAATAACATAACATTTTGACGACACGTCTGGCTCTGTTTGTAGTGACCTTACTTACTGTGCCAGCGGTTGCAGGTTCGAGTCCCGCTGAGGCCATTCATTTGTGTGATGAGCACGAATGTTTGTACTTCAGTTATGGGTGTTTATATTTACAATATGTATGTATTTAAAGTTATATATATGTAGTGTATCAACTATCTGGTATCCATAACACAAGCCTCGCAGCTTACCATGGAGCTAGAAGGTGCTGTGTGTTAATGTCAATGTGTAAATGTTAATGTCTTATTGTATTCAGCCCTTTTTAACGTCCCACTGCTGGGCACGGGCCTCCCTTCAATACGAGGGGGATCAGGCCATAGTCCACCACGCTAGCAAAATGAGGGTTGGCGGACTTCACATGTCTTTTGAAAACTTACTAGGTTCTCTCAGACATGCAGGTTTCCTCACGATGTTTTCCTTCACCGTTAAGACAAGTGGTAATCATGTTGGAAATGATTCGCACATGAAAATATCAGAGGTGCGAGACCCGGGATTTGAACTCGCTTCACTCGGTTTCCCAAGCGAGCGCGTTACCACTGGGCTACCACTGCCTTCCACGTCTTAACATATTTATATTTAATACCGGTTTTTTTCCATATTTTCTAGAGAATTTCTTGCAGTGCCATCTGTTTGTGAGAAGATAAAATTGAAATTACATTGTTTGCTGACTTATATAAACTTGACTCGCATCCAGCTGATACAACATGATAATGCCACTGAACGGTAGATGGCGCTTTTTTAACAATTTTAAATTATTAAGAAACTGATTTCAAAATATGATTTCAATTGTTAAAAAAATTAACAACTAAAAAAATTTACTTGACATTTATTTATATCTTATAATATTAAATGAGCACAAATCTCGTATACAAATAAAATGTCAAGTGATACTGTTTAGTCTGTATTATTCGTTAAATATAATTGTAAAACAGTAATGCAATACTCACAATCTGTTAAAAGTAACGAGAATATAATACTAAGTGTTATTAGTAAATAAAACCAACAACAAAATTTTAGTAACTTTTTAAATTCTAAATATCTTCAGTTCGGGTAACCTTAGTATAACATATATTAAAACATTATAAAAGTTAAAAAATTATTTATCATTAAGCTTTTTTTTATCTCTCTACATCTATTCCTTAGAAAGTAAAAGACAAAAATAAGTTTTTTATTTTTCCTGAAAAATTGTGTTTTTGCAGTTATCGTTTTAATTTCCGGGGGCGGTGATATGTAAATTCGAGTAATTCACAGATAAAAAAATATTAGCAACTGTTGACGAGCTTTGGTGTGATCAATTTTTTTTTTGGAAATGTTAGTTTCTCTAATAAACATAGATAAATTCTATTCATATATGTTTTCCTCAAAATTTTATTAATGTTTATGAAAGAATTTCGATGATTGGACGAACAATAATTGTTTTAAAGGGATGATTTTGCACAAGAACGCGATCCGCGGAACTCGTTGAAGTCTAATCATTATACGACAAACTTGATTTCTAAAGTTTAATGAATAGAAAGGAAAAAAACGACAATGTGTAAAGGGAGGAAAGGTAGGATATAGTCATGTATAAGTATTATAAAAAATATTTAATATTTTTCACTAATTTCCATTTTGTTTTTGCTTATATTATTATCTTAATATCATATAATTTTTATCAATAATCATTTATTACTCAAGCTTTTTATTAATTGGAGCTTTTATTACATTAATTTTTACAGGTTGCTGCAACGCCCTGTTTTCTTCAGAATTGACGGTACAGTCAATGTAACAACGAGCCCAAAAATAAGCATTATCAACATATTGTAATTTTTATTTTTTTTAAAGGCAAGAAAGCAGCTAAAGCTCATAAAGACATCTATTAATTTTATATATTATTGACTGTTAAATAGAAAAACCCATGTGTCAGAATTTATCAGATTGCAAAACAGTTGAATTTATCAGATACAACAATTGGAAATCATATAAGAAGTTTTGGACTTGTTAAGAAGCTCGAGCATCCTTATGAATTAAATTTGGTAGCCCAGTGGTAACGCGTTCGCTTGCGAAACCGAGTGGAGCGGGTTGAAATCCCGGGTCTCACACCTCTGATATCTTTATGTGCGAATAATTTCCAACATCATTGTCACTTGTCGTAACGGTGCAGGAAAACATCGTGAGGAAACCTGCATGTCTGAGAGAACCAAGCAAGTTTTCAAAAGACATGTGAAGTCCGCCAACCTGAACTTGGCCAGCGTGGTGGACTATGGCCCGATCCCCCTCGTACTGAAGGAAGGCCCGTACCCAGCAGTGGGACGTTAAAAAGGGCTACATACAACATACAACAACATTATACAAAATGATGAGTATGCCGAGAATAGTTATGCATATTATGTTAATTCATGTGGTTCCGCACCGGAAGAAGATATTACCGAGTAAAGGTTTGTTAACATTTTGTTCTAAGTTCATTGAACCAAAAAACAAAGACTGTTAACTATTATTATCTACATGACATACTTATAACGAAAAGATAAGATGATGATTATAAATTATTCATATATGTACTATTTATCTTTGCAGCGATGTTGATCCTTATCACACGAAATTGGGCCTTAACGAATTCTTTTTTGCTGATTTCATATACTAGTAAGTTTACTATTGTTATCATGTTTTGGCTGTATATTTAAAAAGATTTTTTTAGCCGAAAAGAAAAAATAGTTTAAATATCCATGGAAATCCATTAGGCATTAAATCGTGTCATTTTAGCACATTTAAAAATAAAAAAATCCATTTCGCTATTCCGGGAAAATAGGAAAAAGCGGGAAATCTTCTCTGCCCCGTTTATATATGGTATAGTTGTCCACTCGATAGTTGCATTCCACAAAAGTTGCCGAGTTAGGACATGAAAGATAACAAAAGTGTTCGCACTTATCTATATATATATATATATATATATATATATATATATATATATGTTTTTAAGAAAAAAAAATTGAAAATTTGCCCGGAAATTAAGAAATTCGGATGAACTTCAAAATTGATTTTTCATAGAATTTTTTTAGGCTCAAAGATCACAAATAAATTTATTGAAATTTGGAGCAGAACAACGTCCTTCGTGTTAGCTAATACTACAATAAGTAAGGTGATTTATAGGATAGACTATAATTTTAATGATTAATTTGAACAAAATTCCAACAAAACACGACTTGGAACATTCGAGTTCTACTTTTATTATCTTTAGACAGCAAATTTTTAATTGCATAAAGTTACATAAAAAGTGAACATTTTTACAATTTGTCTAATACGAGATAGTTCTTTTAAAAAATATAAATATAAAAATTTTTACTTACGAAGACAAGCATGATGAAAAACGCAGCTATGTATGAACTGCGCGCTGTCAACATGGACACGAAACGGTAATGTTCACCGGTGATCACATTTCTGAAACAATACAAAAAATTAATTAAAAGTATACAGCTAAATATGACAATAAAAGCGAAAATATCACTGATTTAATCACGAAAAAAACGCTAAAAAATTGTAAATGCTTTATTTATTTTTATGTGGCAGATAGATTTCTCATATAAAATTGATTTTAGAAATTCAATCCCTAAAGGGGTAAAAGAGGTGTATGAAAATCTTTACGGAATATGCTCATTTCCGTATTTTTCATTATTTTTCTCTTCTATTATTATTAAAGAGGACAACTATTTATAATTCAATGTTTAAAGCTCTGGCAATGAAAAATAAGGCATGATGTAAACTTATAAATACACTATGCGAGCGGTGCTGCGGAGAAACGCTAGTATAGCAATATACGGAAATAATTTAATCAATCAACGATAAAATAATAATATTAAAAAAAAGTAAGAGTTACGTTGTCCTTTCATGTCAGAAATATAAAACATAAGGTTTGTTAGTTTGTCTGTTGGTGCGTTTATAACTAGACAACTACTTGCTCAATTAAAATGATACTTCTTCTGATATCGCTAGATCAAGAATATGATCATCCATAATGAAATAGAAAATAGTGACTACAAAGTGACTTATTTACAGTCCAAATAGAGACAAAGATTACATGATATTCGTGAGAAAGAAATAGTTTTATAACTATTTCAAGATAAAATGATCACTTTTTCAACCTATCACCGTCATCCATATATTTATTTCGCAACACTTTGTCTGACATAAAATATGTACACGATAAACATGATGGTTATTGTCATTTGTAGTAGTTTTTTGCATTGTTTTTGGTAATAAGAAAATGACTTATTGTTAAACTTTTCCTAACATCTTTTGAGTAATATATAGGGTTAGTATGGAATAGATAGACCATATATGTATTTGTATATACAATACATTGGTATGATGAGTTCTGACTTGAGAAATGATTGATTCCCCATAAAAACTTCTACCCCCTTTTGAACCTTATAAGGATAATTTCCGGAATAAAAACTATCGTATGTAAATTTCATCTAAATCGTTTCACCGGATTACATGTGAAAAGGTAACAGATAGACAGACTTTCGCTTTTATAATATTAGTATGGATTATAAGAGCTACGAGAAAAACATTGAAGGAATGACTGTTCACAAGTAAACTATTTCTACAAAATTTAAACCCTAATAATTACTCTATATATTTCTTTGGAGCCGGGACTCGAACCCAGGTCTTCCGCATCTGTAGCGTACGTGCTAGCCACTAGACCACCGAGCATAATATACGAAGATAACAAATGTATAGGCTTCTACTCACACATATATCCGTATTAATATTATAAATGTGAAAGTTTGTTGAGAATGTATGGAAGTTTGTTACTCTTTTACGCCAGAACGGCTGCATGGATCTGGATGAAAATTGGCAGCAGAGATAGATTATAGTCTGGAATAGCACACAAGCTACTTTTTATCTCGGGAAAATGTACGGTTCCCGTGGGATAGGTATGTTTTTGTCTTCCCAGAAGCGAGGGTGGGCCGCTAGTAATTAATATTTATATACAAAGGAAATTTTATTAAATACATTAGTTACTATATGCTGTGAAGTAATTTATTAATAACAAAAAGCTGATTATATTCTGTAAATTAAGATTTACAGTGGAAATGGAAGCGATACTAACGTAATGTATAAATCTTTACAACATTTGTACCTTTCGTAATAAAAATCATATAAGGTTATGGTAGTTCAAAGGTTAATAGCGTAACCTTTGGAAATTTTACAGTTTCCTCCATTATTATACTCAAAATTAGTAAAATTTAGTATTTGTAACATTTGTTTTATTTTATAATACGATAATTTATTCATGAAATCATATAATAGCACCGATTACAAGAGCATAACATAAAAAAGAGTTATCATTAATAAGCTGAAAATATAATTCTTAGGTGCAACTATAGCAAATGTCATTACGGTCTTATATTTCGATTTCGAGTCATGAATCGTAAAAGACCTCTAGAACCGTAGCCGGAAATTCTAGCCACGAGATCAAAGATGGTGTCAGTAACCTGCGTTCACCTTGTCGTGGTGGGGGGGCTCAGTAGTGCCCGGCAATACAGCCGGGCGCGAAGCCAAGAAACGCACGGGGAGGTGGCCCACTTCGGTGGGCGGTGGGAGGTGGCCCACTTCGGTGGGCGGTATACCATGCGGGTTGCTTCTGGTACTTCTCTGATAGCAGAGTGGACCTTGGACCAACCCCGTGGTTGTTGTGGTCTGCTTCGGCAGGCCTGCCGTCGGGGCGTCGTAGTTGAATGCGTAAGCGATCCTGCGACGCCCCATTAAGACGGGGGAAGGCTTTGTTGGGTTTTAGTGGGTAGTACTGGCTTTGCCGGTGAGTCCCACACCTCGTGCGTAAATGCATTTCCCAACGTTAAAAAAAAAGTAATCACACACATATACTGACCTCAAATAACCTTTATTATCCTCTTGTTCAGCAAGACTTTTTATAGACGCCATCAAAAGGTCGTCATAACCAAGGAATTCGTCGAGAACGAAGCGAGAAAAAGTATCGCCGAAACATTCGTCCTTTTGTGGGTCTAAAGTCACGATTTTCACTGGTATTTTGAGTCTAAGTCTCGCGCTCGGTGAGAGACGAAGAAATCCATACTCTAGGGAATATTCTAGAATATAGTCCTCGTCTGAAAACAGAATAGAAAATACATTTTATTAATGACTAAACCTCACATAAAATATAAAAATCTATACATATAATAAAATTCTAACTGAGCCGAATCTGTACATGAAATATTTTCTGGGAAATCTTATTGAAATAGACATTATAATCGATACAGAGACCGAAACTATAGTTTTTAGAATTTTTGTCTGTCTGTCTGTTACCGCATCACAGAAAAACCACTGGAGGGATTTTGATGAAATTTGGTATGGTGATAGCTGGTTATCCGGGTCAACACGTAGGATACTTTTTACCGCGGGAAAATGTCTCATTTCTGAGAAAAAATACAAAAACTGCAATGTAAGAGTATACTAATATGTAAAACCTAAGAATTTGGTTTTTGGTCATCTGAACGCAGGCGGAGCCGCGGGCAATGATAGTAACGTAACCAAAATTGACCAAGTGCGAATCGGATAAGGCCTTTTTAGTTGATATGCCATATATAACAATTGATGCAACTTTTTTAGTCTCAAAGTTATTAATTTCATTTATTTTATATGAGTTTCATTGATTCTCCGTAAGTATGAACCAATTTTAAATATTTACGAGTAATTTAACACAGATGGCCAGCCAGACAAACTAATGATTTACAAGGGTTCCTTTTAACTCTTTTGAACGCTTTTGAAGAACAAAATCACAAAAGTTTTACTGACAACAATGAAATGTTTATTTACATTTAAAAAATAAATAAATATTTATATTCATTTTTTCAATATCGAACAGAAAAGTATCAAAAAATCATGATGTTGTCAATAATTATTTTTACAAATTAACAGGTAATCATTCAAAGTTTGAGCAACTATGAAGTCATATTACATTTAGCAACATTTTTGCTTTTAAGGTCGATTATGAAACAAGTATCTATGAGAAACTCGAATTGAAATATTTATGAAATATTACCTTTTGAGGAATCGTTAGCTGCGGATTCTTCGAGAGATTCCTGAAAGAAAATAGATAGGTTTAGTGTATTATTTTCTATACGATTATTTTTGTCACATTCATGTAAATTGCGGGTATACACATGTCAGTAGCTTGAACAATGACAGTTATAAAGTATTACTCGATTTTTTGAGAATTAATGTGCGGAATAAACTGTTAAAAAATGTAAACCATTCCTATGCCAATGATGAATAGAACGCGCGAATACTACAGCCTGCTAGCAATTTTCCTAATTTTACTCTTTTTATTATAAGATACAAAGTTCAAAATAAAGTTGCGTTTAGTTTCCCCTCTGTTAGTCTTGTTATGTGCGTTTATGTTTATGTTACAAAACAAATTGATTTCATCAATAATTTGTGATAATTTATTAGCCATAGGTACTTGATGCTGTTTCTATGATAATAAATGATACTATGGAGTAATCGCGAGGTACTGAAATCAGTAACTCTTCTCTCCCCATATAAAAAATCCTATCAGCCAACAATCATTTATCCCATTCCAGCTTCGAATCCGCGATCTTTAGCCTAAAAGGTAACGCCAATAACTCGTTCAATTCACTAAGTCATAATTATCGTCATATCAATTTTTATTACAAGCGTAATTAATAACTACAAATGCAAGTCATATCGGAAAAATATATAGTAGAAAAAACTTGTTACGCGTTACTTAATTATCATATAAAGTTAGCTAATGTAATTTCAAAGATTTTATTTAATCCCTCCACAACCGCGGACACGCCGGTGTCAGTTAACAAAAGTTAATAGATTTCTTAGAAATTTAATTAATTTCTTAGAAATTTACTTGGAGGTATTATACCTAATACTCGATTTTTTTATGTTATATGTACTTTAATCGCGAGAAGGTAGAGCTGCTGCTCACTTTTTGGTCAGATTAATAATTTTAGAAGCGCTAAGGACTTATCCATACGACTATTAAATTAAACTAAATGCACAATTCTGGTAATTATTACCGTCTCCCTCCCCAGTTGTTAGCAAAAGTAAGCAAAGCTCTTACTCAACTCAACCCCCCCCCCCCCCTCATACTTAAGTAAAAAAAGTTAAAAGTCTAAAAATAAGGTATTTATAGGCTATAGGGGAATTTAATTCACATTTAATATTTATTCAAGCAAATTATTATTGATATGGTATTTCAATATTATGTTCTTATTAGCTTTCGTCTGAATTATTTTGAGGAATCCCTGACATTGCTTTTCGTTTTGGAGCATAGACAAGTAGGGTTGTCATGCGTGTTCTGAACACATTGATTTGACAAATCTAAATCAGAAAATCGGGGTTCGTCTCTAGGTACAATTTAATTTTTTGAGCGGAACCCTAATTCTTTTACTGAAATAAAAGTAGCCTAAATTACTCCTTATAACATCAACTACCTGCCAGTGAAAATCCCGTGCAAAATCACCCCAGCAGTTTCGGAGATTAGCCAGAACAAACAGACAGACAGACAAAAATTTAAAAATTAATTTTATTTATCTGTATAAATGTATAGATAATAATGAGTAATGATACTACTTACATCTACTATTTTAGAATCTCTATCCATATCTTCAACTAGACCCAAAATCCCTTCCCATATTGAGGAAGTTGGCTCCACTTTTTCACCTGGCATGATTGTTTGGTTTAAGTCCGTTTGCCCATCACTAGGCACCATATCTGGTTTACTATCGACAAAAAAACCAGTTTCTATCACATCTTTTATCTGCACATATTCAATTTCATCATGAATTCGGGTGATGTTGCCATAATCAGTGCCATCTCGCAGATATTCATTTTCTTCTATATCTTCACTTGTAGATGACTCTATATTGTAAAACCTAGAATATGAAAGTAAAAATCACTTTGAATAAAAAATGAAAAATATTATTGAATTTGGATGCAATAAGAAAATGAAAACATGGAAAACACAGGCTCATTGTTCAATGAATTTATAGCAGATAAGACACCCAAAATAAAAGAAAACTATGTAATTTTTGAAGTATGTTTTCCTGCTCTTTTTCATACATACCATATGCACAACTTCCTACTCTGCCCCTAGCGGAGTGGGTGGTATTTCTGGATAAGGGACGTGATAGGAAGTCGAAATGTTAAATAAAAATTGTCCGCGAACGTATGAGTAAAAAGTTATTGAGACTTAAAGTTACAACATTTCCATACATTATTTTGACATTACTACCATTTAGACACTTGGAGTCAAAACGTCACTTTCAATTGTCAAAATGATCTCCAGATGATTGTCTTTATTTGTACTTTGCGTGAAATTCGAATTTTCTAGTTTTCTAGTCATCACTTAAAACTATAAAAATAATAAATTTGTGCCACTTCCTATTTATAATAATAAATATAATAGACAACAATAACACAATGTTTCTTATATCGTCCATAAAATAAAAACTTTAAAATATAAATGAAAAACCGACTTCATAAAAACACTAAAAAGTAAAAACTGATTGGTTGTTATCATTTACTATAGATATTTTCGAAGTCAGCGTGCGTTGCTTGGCATCGGCTGACACCGTTTTTTTGAAGTCGGTTTTAATTTAATTTTTTCAAGATTTTTCTTTGTTAGTGCAGACATATTAGTAGCAAAGTAAGAAGAAAGTTTTTTAACAAAATATTCGCTTAAGCCATTTAAGTTAGTCTGATGCCAATTTTTATATGATGACTGACAAACAAAAATTCGCTTTTATTATAAACACTAAAAAATCTGGCTCTAAAATATGATTGTAACGTATTGGGCTTGTCAAATCAAACAAAAGAAGCTCAAACTCAAAGTAGCTACAATTAGCCGTTGAAGAGTTACACCTATCCACTTTCTGGCCTTACCATAAGACCAGGTCGACGATAACGAACCACTGCACTATCAACGGAAATAGAGACACTTCCAAAGTTTCAAATCTATATAACAATTAGATGTAGGTTAAATTTTTATTAACTATTTTTCCACCCTTAAGAGTGGCATTTTTTTTCAAATTTAAAGGAGACCAAACTAGAAGAATATACTTTCAAACAAAACAAAAATAGAGTTCAGAAGTTACAAACATAAAAAAAATCATCCAAATTGAGAACCTACTCTTTTTTGAAGTTGGTTGAAAATATACACAAATCTTTAGTACAGTTATATTATTATACTATTGTATATAAGCAAATGTACAAAGCTGGTTCACATTAAGTGACATGTTCAAAAAGGCTTCAGCTGTGGCCTTACAATAATATAAAGGAACATATTAGGCAATGTTATTAGATTAGAATGTTACTTAGGTTTCTTGTAGCTGGTGAAAAAAAATCACATTTACTTTTTTACAAAACTTCCTTTGACTATAAAAAAATGCATATAAAAATTAAGCCATTTAGTATAAAATATACTTCTAGATAAAAATTGGCATTTTTCATGTTGCTGAATGATTATTAAATAGACCGCTTAAAATTAAGAATTAATTAATTTAACAGTCAACTATCAAAATTAATGCCAAGTCTCAATATTCCTAAAGCTTGACCTATATTCAATTTTAACTTCTTCAATACTTATATATCATTAAATCATGATTAAATCAACATTTACATTCTAAACCATAATCAAATGTTGATTTATATTTAAAAATGCTAGCAATTTAATAACAATTTCATTATTAACACTCATAAATAGATATGTAATACTACAATGTAGTATTAATACATCTGGCAAATTGTGCTGTTGCCAAAATTGTCTACTTCAATGTTTACAAACATATTAGTCACTTATCTCTGTATCAATACTTGATTATGTGCAACAAATGAGTAAAATATGCCATGATTACTTATAAATACAAAACTTATTCAAAATATTATTTATAATTTTAATTAATTTATTCTTAATTTCTTTCAATTTCATTTCAAAAGCATCTTACCCTTCAGTAGTTAGCATTCCAAGCATAGAATTAAGTTCCTCCTTATCCCGTTTTAATTTACGTTCTTTAGCATAACTTTGTTCAACGGTATAATCTTGAGCAGGGTTTCTTAAAATTTCTACTCTAAGTATACCGTCTCTTGGCCATGAATCCTTAATATGATTCAAACATGTAGTTGGTGTTCTAGAGAATGCTATATGTATGTATGCCAGCACAAAGAAGGCTACAAGTGCTTTCAGCAACACAAGGAATTCAAAAAATCTCCTTATAGGTCGAGGGAATGTACGAGCATATGCTAAAGCAAACTTGAAAAATAATGCATGAAAGAGTCTTTCTCTGACATTAAACAGTGGATTTTGATTATTATTTCTATTTCTATTCACTCCTTGGTTAATAATGGGTCCACCAGGCATCAAGTTATTCTCTGGATTCACTCCAGGTGGTAGGTTATTCATAGCATTAGCTCCTCCTCCACTCATCTCTTTTGAGTTTACAGTATATTTCTAAGTTAATTAATGCTTCCCGTCTCCAAAAACTACTTGAGAAATCAATCTATCCACATTTTACGTGTGTAATCTAAAATAAGGAATGAATGTAATTTAGATATTTATTCACTTCTTATCTTTCTTATTCTTCAAAGATATTAAAGAGCTTACGGTTCGAAAATATATAGAATTTTAATAACTGTGGCTACTTTAAATCGATCAAAATTCGACATTGACCTGGGAACTTATAACTTTAAAAAAGAGAATTTTAATTTTATTCGCATTCTTGTACTAAAACTTTAATAACAATGTTTTTTAACTAGCGTAGGTATCATGAGTTACAAGTCAAAATGCAGATATCTAATCAAAAAATAATTACCCAACAAAAGTAAAAGTAATCAACAAGCTTGATACCTAAACGTCAAAAACACTTTCACAATAGGATTATATAACCTTGGTACACATTACATTAAAACGTGTACGTTGTTATTAACATACAATTGTATCTTGATTTACTTTTAATAACAAAAATTATAATAAATAAAACATGCCACTATTTGTACTTAATAAAACGATGGAACTGTCAAAAGTTAGTAATGTCATTTAGCACGTAATCGTAAATAATTTATGCCATCGTCTATAGATGGTGCTTCTGTGGCTTTTACGTTGCCACTTCATTGATTAGTTACAACAATTTTATTATAAAAACATACAATAATGAGACTTATTTATATTATAAATAATTTTTACCATAATTTTTATTATAATAAAATTGTATTATAAATTTATGAATATAATTATAAAGCTTTTTACTAGGGAACAATTTTGATTTTTCTTTTTACTCCCGCCAGATGTCGCGATGACTATCGCCCTCAGTATATTGCAAAGCTCTATAGCGTGGACGGAATTTTTTTTCATTAACCAACTTGCAAAAAGGAGGAGGTTCTCAATTCGTCGGTATGTTTTTTTATGTATGTTCACCGATTACTCGAAGACACCTGAACCGATTTGGATTTTTTTTGTTTCGAAGGGTACATTTCCCAGGTGTTAATATTGTCAATTATGTAAAAGGTTAATATATGTAAATAAAATTTTTATCGAAATCGGTCGAGTGGTTTTTTATAAAATCAACAAATAAAATATTTTTTAAATAAATTATTTACTCGAATATTTTATTAAAAAAACTTTCTTCTACAAATTACCTGCTTATTACGTCTACACTAAAAATTGAAAAATAAAAACTACACTAAAAATTGAAAAAAAAAGAACGACTTCCAAGGCACTAAAATATAAAAAATAACTCAACATTTTAGTGCCTGGAAGTCGATTTTTCTTTTTTATAATTTAATTATAATTACATATTGTACAGTGCCAGGATGTAAAGAAATTAATGGATATCATTTGTTCCTAGAAGACAATTAGACCAGGGTAGAAGCCTTTAAAAATAATAAAAAGTGAAAAAAATAATAGTAGGATGCAACCCATTAGAAAAGGAGGGGAATATTATAAAAATGAAAGGAAAAATAATTTACGGGCGATCTGAGGTCGAGAAGGGGATGGGGGTGAGGTTTTAAGGGTAAAAAACGGTTTTTCTCGATTTCCGGCAAAACTAAAAGTCCTATCGAAAAAAGTCAAATGGCAAAGTTGTAGGTAATAAAAAGATCTAAAACTTTTGTATTTACACTTTTTTCACATAACCTCAAAATTTATGTGAAAAATTCAAAAAACCAACTTTTTGGTTTTTTATTTTTATCTTTTACAAAAATGTTTTTGTTTTAACGAAATTTGGTGAAAAATTACCTTTTTATGTCCCAAATACGCTGTAATTTATTTGATTAAAAATATTTATTTTTCCACCTTATTTTGAATTAATATCGAAAAAGCACCCTAATTTTCAATCGAAAATTCACCCGTCAAAATATCAGCTTTTTTTAAAAAGTTGGTATGTTTTCTGTAAGTTGAAATCTCTACTTTCCGATGGTAAAAAAAAATATATGTTACTATAGTAAATCTTCTGAGAAAATGCAAAAAACAAAAAACCTTTTGTATTTCATACACTTGCTTATCATCTGCCTTATTGCAGATGATACAAACAGATTCATCCATACTGATAATCTGAAAAGACAAAATCGAATTAATAATGCCTTCACTATTTTATCGTAAGTATAACCCCATGAAAAAAAAATATTAAAGAAATAAATGTCAAAATGTATAAAAAATATATTGAATTTCGAAAAATGCTTAAAACATATTTATTTAATTATATTAAAGAGCATTATAAAATGCAAATTAAAAAAATAAACTATAAAATGTAACGAAATTTAGCTTTAGTAAAGATAAATTATAAACTTTTTTAACAAATTACGTTGTATCTATTCATGAACTGTACATAAAGTAGCTGTGATTTTCTGGATCATTTGTAACACAAAGGAATGTTCTTTGAAAGAGCTAACGTATTTTTATAATAGTCGCATGTGCTCACGGAACAAAAGTCCATGAAAATTTTACAAAGGCAAAGAAGCAGTAAGCTTGATTGACATCTAAATCGTACGCCATTCTTTAAAACACGTTTTTTCTATCCTAAATGTCACTCATTTAAAGGTACAATAAAGCTCTCTACGTGATAAATATAAAAAAAAATCTTTTGAAATTCATACTGATAGTCCCAATACCGATTTGTACCTGCGCTCGAGCGCGGAGCGTGTTGCATAAATAGTTAATAGGACTTTCGATAAGTGTTATAATGACAGAACGTTGTCTTTTTAAAATGTATCTTTAATAATAAAGAATAAAGTAAATAAGAAAATATATAAGTATCTAGATATTAAGTACATTAACTACATAATTTACGCACCTTCGTTACCTGACAAAAAAATGTATTTGACGTCTATAAAGGGTTTTAGGTATTACGTACTACGAGTATATTAAATTCTAAGGTAATCACCTGGTTTTATTGTATCTGTTTTATTTCGACTAGTTTTACTAAAACTATGATATGCCTAGACTTTCTTGGAAAGGCGACTTTTAATTTGTATCATTTCAGAGAAATGAAAACTCATTCTTTAGTAGAGTTTGAGTAACATTAATGATGTGTATAATTAAAAAGCGAGATTTACTTCTATCGCTTCGTAGAACGATTTTTATATAGAATATCATGTACAAAATAGGTATTAGGTAGTATTAGACACTAAGGAGTTACTAGCCGTAGTATATCAAGCAAGATGGAGATATCAAAAATAAAATTTTATATAATTTTAAGTATATTATATTTATTAACATAAAAAATTATGCCTATTTATTGGATATTAAATTAAGGTTAAATATTTTATATTTGTATAAGGTGGTTAGGAACCATTTTGTTAGAAAATAAAAAAAAAACTTTGAATATTTTTTTCTTTTTTTTTTTGGAAAGCAAAAGTAACAAAATAATCATGTTTAATTTTATTTCTTTCAAAGGCCACAAAGATTCTAAGTCACCTTTTACAATTGGCACATTCTCCTGTTTATAAGTATAATTTATTTTTCAGATTCGTGGCATTGTAATTTTAAACCTCCCTTATCCATATACCTTCCACCTTAAATTCTTTTTCATTAAATCCTTGTATTTTTTATATAACAATCTAAGAAAATATGTAATAGTCAAATAAATAAAAATTATCACTACGTAGTATAAAACAAAGGCGCTTCCCGCTGTCTGTCTGTCCCTATGTAAGCTTAGATCTTTAAAACGACGCAACGGATTTTGATGTGGGTTTTTTAACAGATAGAGAGATTCAAGAGAAAGGTTTATATGTATAATAAATGCATATTATAGTACAGAATAACCGAGAAATTCTAAGATTTCTATTTCATACTAACCGTTAAAAAGTACCTAGGGACGAACCCGAGTGAAGCGAGGGTGAGTCACCAGTAAATATATAAATTATATTCGGGTAGGTAAATGAAAATGGAGAAAAGTTTTTGAACAATTAAGTATAATATAAAAATATCTGTTGATTTAATTGTAGTTTTCTTCAAAGTATCATGTAAATCGAGACCACTGATTAGGAAAACACGACTATATAATCAAAAATACTTGTAACGGTCGTAAATTTTTGTTGTATGCCAAACTAAAATTATATAGTATAAGTATATCAAAACACAATTTACAACAGTGTATATCACCTAAAATTGTTACGTATAGAGGAGATTTTTTCCACTAGAGCATTTTGAAATTCTCATTAGCCCAACCACACGAAACGGACTTCGATAAAGGCTCCGAGATAACGAGAAGCAAAGTTAAATCACCAGCCGCTCACGTTATAAATATTCAAAAACCCGTAACCGGCTGGTTAAAAAAATTGACGTCTCAATTATCGAAGCCTTGAGATGGGGTTTAATTTATATTATTCTCACGTTTCTTGTTTCCTCTTGTCATCTAGTCCTAGGCAGTAGGCACTGTTGGTAAAAAAAGTTTTTATTTAGCGACAGCTTTATGCGTTCAAACTTAGCTAATTCTTAGAATTGTTTGGTGTATCAGACAAGTCCAAACGGCAACATTTTGTTAGCTTAAAAGTTTATTTTTTTCATTTATTCATTTAATATGTATTTAGATGTAGTTTTATATATGCAATTTCGCATACATTAACTGTAATGTACTTACTGTTTTATTTATGTTGGTGAGTTAAAAATGTCAAATGTTTTTGTCCTATTCCTTCGTTATTGGCCCAGCATTTTTTTTTTTATTATTTTCCTTTCCTAATAATGCTTCTTTACCACGTTAATTTTCCTGAATAAAACAACGTAAACTATTGTTTTATTAAGTATATTTATTTTCATATTATCAAAGTATCTTTACTTACTTTATTCAACGAACCAACTTGGTTAAGTCCATAATATTTTTGATTATTATTTGTTTATTAATATATATACCTACTAAATAGTACCCACCATACTTTAAAATACTTTCAAATCCTCTTGCCGACATTACTGTGACAGATTTTATAAATTATTTA